GCTGACCAGCAAGGTCATGGGCTCCCTCCACTCTACAAGTAGTCTCAAGGCGAAAGACAGGCTGGTGAGAAAGCTCCGACCAGCAAGGCCATATGCTCCCCCTCCCCTACCTAAAACCCCAAATAAAAACCCTTCCTTTTAGCTTTACGGGCAGTTTGGGATTTCAGCATTAACTGCCCTCTCTCCTTGCTCAGCACTGTGCAAAACTAAAATTCCTACTTTCTTCCACTACCCCTGGTGTCAAAGATTGGCTTGCTGTGCAACAGGTGAGCAAACCCACTTCAGGTTCGATATCAATGTCACAGCAAGATTAGTTGGGGTGCCTCAGCCCCTTGGGGAATCTGGAGTCCCCAGGACCTGCGGGTCCAGTGAGAAGGGTCTGGAACTCTGTGTCCACACTGGCCTGCCTCCCTACCCACCTCCACCCAGGAGGAGGCTCAGCACCCTTGTCAGGGGGCAGACATCCAGAGGTCACCCTGTGACCGCTCATCCATGCCATCGCAAATGATAAGATTTCCTGCCTTTTTATGGCTGAATAATATTCCATTGTGTCTGTGTGTGTATATATATACATATATGTATATATATGCCAGTATATATATACCACATTTTCTTTATCCATTCATCCACCGATGGGCACCTAGTTGTTTCCATGTCTTGGCTATTGTAAATAATGCTGCAATATATGGGGGGGGGGTGCAATATTTTTTCAAGTTAGTGGTCTTGCTTCTTTTAGATAAATGCCCGGAAGTGGAATTGCTGGAATTGCACAGTTGGTCTTGATTCGTGAGGCAAGTGGCTTTTTATTAATCCGGTCAGGACCCTGTCTAGCTAGGAGTATTTTCTGGCTGAGGCGGATACACTTCGTCCAGACCACTTCGGCTGGAGGAGGTGGACTGGCCTGTGCTGGTTTGCGAGGGCCGCCATAACAAAGCACCACGGACGGGGTGGCTCACACAACAGACATTTCTCACAGTTCCGGAGCCGAGGACACCAAGATAAAGGTTCCAGCAGGGTTGGCTTCTTCTAAGGCCTCTGTCCTTGGCTTGTAGTTGGCTGTCTTCTCCCTCCTGTGTCTTCGCAGGGTCTCCCCTCGTGGGGACGCACTGATTTATATTCTATTATACAGAATCAGCTAGGCCCTCACGACTGATTCTAGTACGTTGATTTACTCAGTGACTGTATAGTCTCAGAATGGGACTGGACCCGTGGTCAGCATCTTACCCATCCTCCCATCCATATAAGAGCCCTTCTCTCACCTCCCCTCCAGGGATCATCCACTCTCTGCTGGATATCTCCAGAGACGAAAGCTCACTATTTCACGTCATGTCCGATGACATCTTTAACCAGCTCTCAGTGTTAGGCAAACAGGATGTGCCTCACTGTTCCTTCTGTGCGTTGGTGCAGGGTCTTCTCTTTGGAAAAACACTGAACACATCTTTTTACTCTCTGTAACAGCCTCTTAAGTCTTTGAAAAGAAAGAAGGTCACCACTTGGAATGTGCCTCTCAGAACTCAACACTCCCACTTCTTTCAGATGTTCCTCATGTGAATTGATTTTCAGACCATCCCGTCCACCGTCCAGCCTCTTCTGGATTTTCTCAGATTCCTCCAAGCCCTTCTTAAAGTCTGACACCCTAAGTGAACCCCATACATGAACTGTGGTTCTTCCTGACACAGACTGTTACCGCCTGTGATCCAGACATTGTCTCTACTTCTATTTATGAACCTTAATTTACATAAATTCTTTTAGTGGCTGCATCACACGATAGATTCATGTTGAGTATTCCGTTAGCAGGATTACCTGAAACCTGCTCATCCTTCTACACGAACCGCTGCCCTGATGGCCTCCCCAGCTCGTGTTTGTGAATTGATTATTGAACCCAGCACAGGACCTTATATTTATCCTTTCTACATCTCAGCTTTTTGGTTTTCATCTGCAACAGAAATAATTTTGAACTTTGAGTGTCGTCCATCATATTTATCATCTTTCAATGTTTTATGTCAGCTGCAAAAATAATACCTTTATTGCAATCTTTGAGAACTAAGGTTGATCAGGAAAGGTGCGTGGACAAGCCCTTGCTCGTACCACTAGAGAGCTCCGCTGAGATGGACACTGGCTGTTAAGGGCACTTCTGGGATCTATTTGTTCAGGCAGCTGCAAATCTGCTTCTATTATCGTCTACTTTCGTGTTTGCTTCTAAAAGCTTTATTCTGACAGTAATGAACTGCATTTATGAATGCTGAATAAAAACGTTGATGACAGCATTTAATTTATTGAAGAAATTTATAAAAGAGTATGAAATTTGGCACTTCTCTTAGGCTCTTAGGGCTGACTGCTGTGCCATCAAGAGGAAAATCTGGACCAGTTCCCCAGCCAAGTGGGTGATGGCTGTGGCAGGTAGACCTAAAGTTCTAAATGGCAGATGGGGGAGTGCCTGCCCCATCATCTAAGTGACCAAGTCTGCAATGGGAGAGCCGTTTGCTACCAAACAGTGACTATCTTATAACGGTGTCCATTCATGGACGGCCCCTGAAGTCAACTCTCATCCTGCCATGACTTCTTTATGATAACAGCCGTCATAGATGGAGCACCCACTCAGCGCCGGGCAATGCAGACACACCTGTAATCCTCAGAACCACCTCACGAGGAGGCTCATCCCCATGTCTGGATTAAGATTGTCAGAAGAAACTGTGAAAGAGCTTGAAATGGCAAGAGATGACCTTTCAGTGGGACACTGGGGTTGTCGGGCAGATCTCAAAGGGTTTAGCATTTATAAATGGTAGAAAACTGATAGTAATGCGAAGAGTCTTATCCATAGAAAAGCAGATAATTTTTTTCATATAGAGATGCAACTGATTTCTGCCCTGTAGAAAAGAGGATTTCAAACATGACACTTTAGTGCCCATAGGTATTAATCTATTAATAAATTCATCTCCATACCTAACAGGTACTAATAGCAAATTTTCTCAATTTTTCATCTACCAGCAACTTCATTTCGGCATTCACGACTGGTTATATGTTTGTTCCTCAGATTCTCATTTGAATCAATGGAACACGTTGTTGGTTCTCTCTTTAATTAAAGAGTTAAGTAAAACCTTTGACACATGTTCATATTATATTTGTGTGAAACTCATGGTTTTAGCATTTTGAGGATTTTCCTCTAACGACAATTAACAACCTTCAGGGGCCATCCCTCTGGTCCCTGTTACTTGGGCAGCCTGATTTTATACCCCAGAATTTCTGACAGGAGAATTGGCACTCTCAGATCAAACCTCTGCTTTTCTGAGAATGGGATCCAGCTGACTGGAACGTCCACGCAGTCCTCCTTCAAGCTGCACAATGGGGCTGGCTTAGAAGTTTGTTGGGAATGGAGGAGGGGCACTTATAGCCTGCCATGGCAGAGCGATTAGGATAAAACCCAACACTGGGTACCCTTCTTAAGCCCTTGACCCTCCCCACCACCCGGGAGCTCCCATTGGTCAGACCTGCCCCTGAGTGCCTGCCCCAACCCTTCTTGAGCCCCCTCTTCCATCTCCCCTGTTCTCCACATCTGCAGACTCCTCACCCCTTCTCTCATCTTCTGTGGCAGAACCGTCAGCCCCACCTTTGTCTTGCAAGACTTTAACGCCAGGTGCTGGGATCTATGTTTCCCCGTCCAAGTGACCCATTTAGGTATTCAAACAACAGCAAGAAAAATCATTGAGATCCTCACCCTAAGAGGAATTATGCTGCCAGCTTCATTATGATGACATCAAGAGCTAACCTTTTGAGCACATAGTGTGTGTCCAGGACCGGACTGAGCACTTTACGTTGACTGAGCACGTGGGAAAGCTCATGTCCCTGACTCGATTTCTTCATTTATGAAGAAGGAAAGCAGAGATAATTGGTCAGAACCAAGAGGCTATCCGCTCAAATTTAAAGTTATGTATTGTGTGCCCTCGAACAGGGAGATTGTGCATCCATTTAACTGAAGATTAATCTGTAATACATTCTTAATTGCAAGAATATACATTTTTCAGGCAGCCCGTTAGATAACACTGAGTTTCATGATTATTCAACACAGTACATTTAAATCTGAAGTCAGAATGTGAAATATGACATTTGGGAAGATGTACAAGCCTGTACAGGGAGATTTGGAATTCATAAAGCCATGAAGTGATTTATATTTATCAGACATGGAACATTTTTTAACTAATCTTCATAAAAACAAAATGTGAATCAATAAAAGTTATCCCAGACATTCTAGGCCTTTGTGTGTATGGGAGGCAGGGGGTGGGGGAAGGGATGGGGAGGAGACTTTCTAAACTTAGAAAAGAAAGTGGTAACTGAGTACCTGAGAAAGCTTTCTATCACCCCTCATCTGTTTCCTTCCTCCTTCAGTGACTCAGTTTAGCAGTGAATGAAAGAGACCAAACAGATGACCAAACGCGGCACCGACCGCACTTTCGTTTGTGGGTCCTAGCTCCATCACTTCCTGTTGGTGGCCGTGGCAGATGACTTAAACCATTCACGAGATAAGAATAACAGGAGTCCTCTCCAGTCACTCACTCTGGGGAGTGAAGGAGGCAGTGCAATAAGGCCCCGGCACAGTGAGCAGCACACAGGAAACAGTTCAACATTGCGATATTACTCGATTTCCTTTGAGATCGTTTTTCCCTTGGGGCTGTTCACGTGGTCCCCGATAGTATGGCTGTGTGGCTGCCGGGGGTGGGGGCGGGGGCGTTCGCTCAGAGATCCTCCCCAGGAAGCCACACCCCAAACACCCCCTCCCTGTGCTCACCAGGGCCCTCAACGCTTTAGCAGGAACGCAACCTCTCCCTCCTCTGGTGCCTACAGAGACGCAGCCCGTCAGAGTCTGCGCTGAGTCTAAACAGGACTTAAAGAGCAGTTTCTGACACTGAAAAGCCAGCGGCCAGGTGTTTCCTGGCAGCAAGGGCAAAGGCAGGAAGACAGAGGGAAAAGCGAACAGCCCCACACCCGACGGTCCCGGAACAAACCTGAGCCTACTCGGTTTCACCAAGACCTGTGGACTTCAGTGATTCCATCCACCCGAAGCTTTGGATAAAGGACAGGAAGGAAGGGTGGCCACAGGGCCTTTGCATCCGCCAGGGCTGCAGATCTCCCAAGCAACCTGCGGGGGTAAGTTGGTCACATGAGTGGAATTTCCACGGTGGTTTTGAGGATTTCTTTATGACTATCTTGCTTCAAGAATGAAGGGTGAGGGCCGCCCGGTGGTGCAGCGATTAAGTGCACACCTTCCGCTTCTTGGCGGCCTGGGGTACACTGGTTCGGATTCCGGGTGTGGCCATGGCACCGCTTGGCAAACGCCATGCTGTGGTAGGCGTCCCACACATAAAGTAGAGGAAGATGGGCACGATGTTAGCTCAGGGCCAGTCTTCCTCAGCAAAAAGAGGAGGATTAGCAGTCGTTAGCTCAGGGCTCATCTTCCTCAAAAAAAAAAAAAAAGAATGAACGGCGATGTCGGGAAGAAAAAACAGCGAATCCTAGGACTTGTTGTCCCAATTAATCAGGAAGACACGTGAGAGCATGAGTGAGTGATAATTCACACCTGTTGTGTTTCAATGTTGACCGTGAGCCTGAGTGTAGACGACTCTCACTGAAGCGCGAAACCTCTTTACACAACAGCTCTCAGTCCCGAATAATTCATTGCATCTTTTCTTTAAGGAAATTACTTATAAGGAAATGTTAAAAAGTAATCTCCCTGGGAAATAAGTACAAATCTCATGAAAAATAAATCTGGGTTAGTTGAGGTATTATGGATCCATCCCCGTAGGAGCAGAAGCTGTGAAGTCCTTTTCCTTTTCAAAAACAAACACTCACCTTCCAGACGGTGGATGTACAGCCCGGTAGGGCCCTGTAGCCCGGCTGCCGGCAGTCAGCAGGATTTCCGGGTCGTCCTGGGTTTAGAGGGGACTCACTCTCACTCTCCCTTCAAAGGTCCGGGGGTTTCCACTGTTGAGGGGGAGCTTCCAGAGGCTTTAAGAACTTGTTTGTTGTTGTGAGGAAGCGTCCTGCCTTTTCAGACCACAGCGGCGGCTGGCTTGTGTGTCAGCCGTGCCTGGGCTCCTTCTGAGAAACGCTTCTGGAACAAGGACCGGACGGCCTCCCTCCGCCGGGCGGGAGGTGGGCTCTGCAGGGACTGTGCGCGCGGACTTGGGATCAGAGGGGCTGCGTGCACACCTGCTTCCGCCAATTCCCCAGCAGGGCGAATGCAGGAAAAGGACTTCATCTGGGAGCCTCAGCTTCCTCAGCTGTGAAGAGGATCACGCCCTGATAGGGTTCCCCTGGGGGTTGAAGTGGGAAACACAGAGCTGGCCTGATGGCTTAGTGGTTAAGTTTGTGCGCTCTGCAGCCAGGGGTTCACAGGTTCGGATCCCGGGTGTGGACCTAACGCTGCTGGTGAAGCCACACTGTGGTGGCATCCCACGTGAAGTAGAGGAGGATTGGCACAGATGTTAGCTCAGGGGCAATGTTCCTCACAAAAGAAAACAAGTGGGAAATGCAAATAAAGCGCTTAGCATATTGCATAGCAGAAAATGAAGACTCAGGAGAGGTAATTTTTATGGCTAATTCTAAACACCTTGGGATATAAAATATTAGTGGGATCTCTCTGACTCTTGAGTTCTTCTTGGGAGAATAGTGGCCATAGGTAGTTTCTCCCACCCTGCCTCTCCCTTCTCACTCCTGGAGTCTCTTCCTCCCTGCACATACCTCTCGTCCACTCACCGTGGATTTCTGGCTGACCCCAAACATGAGGGCATCCTTCTGTGTCCAGACCGTTTCTTCTTACTGTTCCCTCTTCTTAGCCTCATTTTCCTTTTCATCTCATCTGGTCTATTTCTGGAAATCCTTCAATACCACCTCAAATGTCAGCTCCTGAGGGGTCTTCCCTGCCACCATCCTCAGGTGTCACCTCCTCTGTCACAGCAGCAGCGATTGGTTACATTGTAACCCTTGCTTTCGCCGTTAGCTGGATGAGGCTCTTGGGGACAGAGCCCATCTCCTCTCTCCCTTCCTACCTCGGTGCCTGTCACAGCAGCTGCCACAAGTAAAGCGCTGGAAAATGTCTGCATTGTAGGATCATCTGGGGCAGCAAGAGTTGAGGAGGAATCTCCTCAGAGGAGATGTGGGGTCTGGACAAGGGCTGTCACTCTTCCTTTTCCATTTCAGCATCACCAGCCACGGCCCCAGCTACGGCCTCATCCAGGGCCACGGCCGGCATGCCCATCACCTGGGTCCTCGCGGTGACCGTGCTCACCTGCTCTTCTCCTTGGCCTCCGAGGCTGAGTCCCTCATGGTAACAGATACTGAGAGCTGACAGCCTGGTGTGAGGGTGGGGAAAGGTGGATTCTCAGCCCAACCCCTGCCCCCTCACTGAACTTTCTCATCATGGGAATGAGACAAGGTGACTAAGACCTCATATCACTTGAGAGCTGCTTGGCCAAGCTCAGCCCTGGATTCTGATATCTCTTCACTGGTAAGGCCAGTGGGAAAGGGGACGGGCTCACCCCAAGGCTTAGGGCCTGTTGATATTAAAGGGGGTTAGCAAAGTCAGGCCTGACTCAGACCAGATCCCCAGTTTGGGAGAATCTCTTTGGGCCCAGTGGAGGGCAGTGTGGGGACAGCAGGCACACAAGTCATGGGAAGTACTCACGTTTGGGTAAGAGCCACATGGTGGCTCCAGGTAAAGTGTCAAGGGAAATGGATTCATCCAGGGGGCTAAAATAGGAGGGCGTTGGTCCAATTCCAGGAAGAGAGCTGGGAAGGCCTTGAAGACTCAACTAAATGGCTGGAGTACAGGGCTGCCTTCTCACCGAAACTGCCTCGGGTCGCAGCAGGTAAGGCACAAAGCCAACAGTAAAAACTGTGTAGGGCGAGATGATGAGGAAGCCAGTTCTCCATGGAACAATGTGAATTCTGGCTCAGTATGTTGCATGCACCGTGCAGCCAGCCTCCTGCAGACCCCAGATCCTGAGTCACTCTGTGACCCCTCCCTGGAGCAGAGGTCACTCTGGAGACAGGTGGGGCTGAGCTGCTGTTGATGCTCACAGCTGAGCTGGACCAGGGATGGACGGAGTCTGGTAAGGGACTGTCACACTGAGAGCTCTGTGTGCTGCTAGCTAAGAGACTGGGAGAGGAGGAAATGAAGGATGTTTGCCTGCAGCCCTCCCCAAGGCTACAGGTGTCAGGATGCAGGCCCTTCTCTTCCATCAGAGCTCCCACCAGGTCCTTTAGGCCCTCCCATCAGAAGGAGAATCAGGACCTGAGTAAAGGGAGCAGATTGATTCATTACTCACTCTAGTCCTGATCTTACATGGTTGGTACTAGAGACTGGGGCTGACTGTGATTAGGTAAAGGGAGGAAGAGATTGGGACAAGCTGGTGGACCCAGGGAGGGGGTGATGGATGGGGGGAAATACATGACACTCAGCGAGGGTGGGGCTCAAGATGGGGAGTGACTGGGGAGCTGACCCAGGAGACCTGACCCAGGACTTCCTCAGCCACTTGGACCAACACTGTTTCTTTTCTGAAGGCAGATGATGCTCCCAAGGAGGCCCTGAGAGTGTGGTCAGTTACATGACTCTGCCTTATGGTTGACTGCCTTTGGATCCTGTGCTGTTCATTTCTAGACCAGAAGGAGTTCAGATCTTACAAATCCAGAGGGCACCATCAGATCACCATGAGACTGCTGATGCAACATCTCAGGTCCCTCATTGCATTTGGCGATTCTCCTATTCAGAGCCTTTGTTTAACATATTGTGATTGGGCTGGAGCCAGCGGGATCTGAACAAATTCCCCTTCTAAATATTGACTCTGTGACATTTGAGCCCCTGCCAGCTGGGATGGCACCAAGGCTGTTAATATCTGTGAAGAGGGAGAGTGATAAGAAGTTCTAGGGGATCATAAACCAGAGTGAATTTCTCACTAAAGGACCCACTATTTTAAAATATTATTTATTTATTCATTCATGCATCCATTCACTCATTTACTCTTGGGTTTCACAGCACTCCCTGTGCCAGACTGTGCCAGGTGACAGGGACAAGGAGTCATCTATGCACAGATCCTGCTCTCATGGCGCTCTCAATCAATCTCAGGGGACAGAGGTACAAACCCTGTGGAGAAAAGTGAGGAACCACATGTGCCACATCACAGGAGCACCTGGGATGGGTCCCTAAACTGGAGCGCTCCTGGGGGAGGTGACAGGAACCTGGGTCATAAATGGGGCTGGAGTTCACCAGCCAAGAGTTGGGGAGGCATTGCACATAGAAGGGCACAGGAGTAAAGCACTTAAACTTCTATAGTCTTCAATTTCTTCATCTATAAAAAGAGTGAAGTCCTAGACCCAACCTCATGACGTTCCTGAGAGGATTAGAGAGCAATGCTGACAATCACACACCCAGGGGCTTACCCTCCAGCAGGTCTTGGCTCTCAACTGTGGGAGATGGGTCGGTGGTGATTCATTCTTGCTCTTGCTCATCCTTCTTAGTGGACTGGGTGTGAGTTTCCAGCATCCAGCAGCCAGAATCAGGAGGAAGCCCGAAGCCAAGGAACAAAGTAAAGCTTAGCCGTGGAGGCGAAGTGATGCGTCACCAAGCACAGATCACCAGACGGAACAGCAGCCGAGTAGGTACACTAGCCTGAAGTCGGAATGGCTCAGGGTAAACCCACTTCCGTCCGTTGTCAAAGTGCCTGCAAGTACTGGATTCTAGTTGTTTGGGCTCCGTCTCTGTTTATTTTTTTTTAATTGTTGTAAAATACACAAAATTTACCATCTAAATCATTTTTGTGTACCGTTCAGTGGTATTAAATACACTCACATTGTTGTGTGACCACCACCACCATCCATCCCCATAACTTTTTATCTTGTGACACTGAAATTCTACACCTATTCAACAATAACTCCCCATTCACCTCTCCCTCCTGCCCCTGGCAACCACCCTTATACTCTGTCTTTATGATTTTGACTGCTCTAAAGTTCCTCGTATAAGTGGAGTCATACGGCATTTGTCTTTTTGTGACTGGCTTATTTCACCGTGTGTAATGTCCTACGGACCATCTATGTTGCAGCATATTGCAGAATTTCCTTCCTCTTTAAGGCTGATTAATATTCCATTGTGTGTATATAGCACATTTTCTTATCCACTCATCTGTCAACGGACACAGGTTGCTTTCATGGTTTAGATATTGTCAATAATGCTGCTATGAATGTGGCATACAAATACCTCTTTAAGACCCTGCTTTCAGTTCTTTATATACCCAGAAGTGGAATTGCAGCATGATATGATAATTCTATTTTTAATTTTTTGAGAAACTGCCGCACTGCTTTCCACAGCGGCTGTACCATTTTACTTTCCCACCAACAGTGCACAGGGTTCTAATTTCTCCACACCCTCACCAACACTTGTTTTCTGATAGTAGCCATTTGAATGAGTGTGAGGTGAGATCTCATTATAGTTTTGATTGGCATTTCCCCAAATGATTAGTGATGTTGAACATCTTTCCATGTGCCTATTGGCCATTTGTTTATCTTTTTTGGGGAAAAGTCTATTCAAGTCCTTGCCCATTTTTTAATCATGTTATCTTTTTAGTGTTGAGTTTTAGGATTTCTCTCTATATTCTAGACATTAACCCCTCATCAGATATATGATTTGCGAATATGTTTTCCCACTCTGTGGGTTGCCTTTGTTCTCTGTGATTAGTGTCTTTTGATGCACAAATTTTTTTAATTTTCATGAAGCCAAATTTGTCTATTTTCTTTTGTTTTTACCTGTGCATTTGGTGTCATATCCAAAAAATTATTGCAAATCCAGTGTCATGAAGCTTTTGTGCTATGTTTTCTTGAGTTTTATTGTTTTGGGTGTTACATTGAGGACCGTCAGCCACTTTGAGTTAATTTTTGTATATGACATTAGGTAACGGTCCAACTTTGTTCACTTGCATGTGGATATCCAGCTTCCTTGGCACCACTTGTGGAAAACTGGGCTCCATCTCTCTTTACAGCACTTCAAAGCTAACTTCATATCTATTACTTGCTTTGGTCTTTCTAACAACCGTACAAGGCAAGTACGGCGGGTATTCAGATTTCTTTATTCTCGAAAGCATTTCTTCATTGCTGAGGGATGAGACAGCAAATTCCTTTCTCAACTGCACAGTGGTTAGTGGCAGAGAGGGACTAAAATCACGGACCACCTCATGCTCTTCATTCCCACTAGATCATGCATTCTCTGAATTTTCTAGTTGGTCAAGGCTGAGGTTGGGAGTGGGAAAAAATATCCAAGGTTAAATCGAAGAAGGAAGATATAAGAAGCCCAAATCATGGTCATCAATTGGAACTTTACTCCTTGTTTTTTATTTCCTTGGACATCAAATGAGGTTGTTAAACAAGAATTCCAAATGTGTCCCCTAGTACCGCTAACGGCAGAGAATGTGAGCAAGCGTTCATTTCACTCCTGAGGACCAAGAAACACAGCCCACAGTGGTCCTCGGCAAGAGAGAAAGTTCTTTGAAGTTCCTTATTTGCACTGACAAAAATCATGTGCAGTTCTTTATTCTAGCCTGCAATATCCTTGGATTTGTTTTAATACAAATATAAATTAGTCAGCTTATCCTGTATAAGGTTTTTATAAAACGGATTCTCTGGGGTGATTCCTGGGCTTCTCCTGTGGTTTCTTGCCCTCCCTGACACTCAGCCGAGTACTAACAGTGCACACACCCCAGTGTGAGATGCAGAGAATTACCAATCTCAAATCTCTGCCCCCACATCTTCTACTCCTACACTTGGCCTTCAAATAAAAAGAGGGGGAGTCACACTCAGGTGTGGCAATGAGTGCTGAGAAGTGAACAATTAAAAATAATGATTTTTGCATTTATGTGAACTCAAAATGGGGCAAACCCTCCACTTCCACCCACGCCAGCCTGGTCCAGGAACCAAGTGTCCCTTGTAACAGGATCAGCCACGTGCCAGGCAGAGAGTCATCCATCTGAAAGTAACATCTGAATCAATGAGTGTATCACAGATCTTTAGAGTAAATGCAAAACTAGGCCTTCAGATTAGGTGTTAACTATCACTCCATCATTTACTAACCAGCAAGCAAGTCTAGTCCAACTCCTATACAAAGTATCCAAGCTTTTTTCATAGCTATTGGCGACCAAAAGGGTATTTTCAATTGTATTTAAGCTTTTCCTTTTATGGCAGTAGCTAAGGCGCTGTACAGATATCGGCTCAGATTTGGGAATTTTTGTATGTCAGAGCTGGAATAGCCATTACTCTCTATGACCATGTCACCTCCACTTACAGCTGGTGAGGATTTCCAGACTTTCAATTGTCTAAACACACAGGGCTGAGATTAGGACGGAGGGCAGTCATTAATGGGAACATTTTGTTATCTACGAAAGGATTCATTTGCCTTGATTTTCATTATTTCTGAACCTGAGACCAGTTTATTGAATTATAAAAGTTCATTTGTATAAAGAACTTTATTTATTCCCTTAAAATTGCGTTAACTGGGAAAAAAGAATATAGGACAGAAGAGAAACCATTGTCACATAAACAAACATGAGAAGATAATTTAAGAGCCCTGGGTAGAAATTAACGTTCATGAGGTTCTAGTCTCTATGAAGTTACTTGTATTTCCAATTTTTAAAATGTATTATTACTGTGAGAATTAAAAATAGCTCAATTAAATAATATAACTTCAATGAATTATATTTCAATTATTACCCATCCATCTTCATCCATCTCCAATATTTATCATAGTCCTAACATGTATTTCTTTGGACCTAAACTTTCCTTGGGGATTGAAGTCCCTGTGTGTATACCACCACAAGCTTAATTCATTTCGAGGGGCCATCTCCCCTAAGGATCGTGAAAGCCTGTAGTGCTGACAGACACTGTAAACAGGACACTTTCTCATTCACCAAATACTAGAATCCTGGAAGCACTTTCCATTGTGTAAGAACACATAGCAAAAGATAAAGGTTTATGCTTTTCTTATTTGTTTTGGTTTTACTAGTGTGACCATTTAAGCTTTATGACAACAATCCAGATCAGGGTAACAAAACCACACAGAACCACTCTCCCAAGGCGTGCCCATCAGGGGAGCATAAGACTAAACTAAATGACAGCTTTTCACTTGGTTTTCATGGAAGATAATGTCCTACCACCTTCTCCAGCAGCCTCTGCTCACACTTTTTTATCACCCAAAGAGTGGACACATTCAACCTCACTTTCTTCCACCTCACTCTTTAACTGGACTGTCCTCTGACATTATTCTTGATTTTAGCAACTGAACTCACAGCCTTTGCTTCCTGTTTCCTTGTGTTTCGTGGGGGAGTTTGATCATGTTTCTCTTAAGGAGCATCTAGAGATAAGTTGAACCACAAGACTTTCTAAAAAAAAATTTTTTAATAAAAGTGCCCTGAAACCAGACATTCCAACCTGCTTACTTAATAAAGTGCTGATAAAGAACTTCTTCGAGGGCCTCACTTTCTCCAGGAATGAACTTGGAGAATGTTGGCTCAGGAGCTCAGCTTACAGAGCGTGTAAGACAACTCCCTCATCAGAAAGACAAGGAAATCAAGACCCAGAGAATGAAGTTTCTTGTCAAGGTGGTATAAGGAGGTGGGTTTGGCACCTGGATGTTCTGCTGCCTTAAAAAAAAGGAGCTGAAATTTCCTCAGTGCTCTCAGGAGCCAGGCGCTATGCTAAGTGTATTACGTGCGTTATCTTATCTGAGCCCCACAGCAATGCTGTGAAGTAGGTGCTATCATTACACCTATTTTACAGATAGAGAAATAAAAGCTTTGAGAGAGAGGTTGTGAAAACTTGTGTGCTCCAGGCCACACAAATACAGGTTTTGAACCAGGCAGCCTGATTCCAGAACCCATGCATGAGGCCACTACTAGTCTTACCACCTTCGTAGAAATATTATACACAGATGTAGATATATAGATATTGATATATCGATGTGCATGTACTTATGTACATATTGTATGTAAGCAAGAAGCAAGATACAGTATTATTTTGCATATCTTATAATTTTAAATAAATATTTTAGAATGAAAAGAGGAAAAACAGGTGAAGGGAGAAATCTCTAATGGGCAACTCTAAACAATAGTGTCTAGGAAGGTTGCACATGGGTGCAAACATAAGGAAGTGGTCACTTCAGAGGAAAGGGGGAGGTTAGGTTGGGATGGGGTCCTGAGGAAGCTGCAGGGGTGGCTGACAAAATTCTATTTCTTAACCTGGATGGTGGTTGTTGGGTGTTTGCCTTATAACAATTCATTGAACTCATGAAGTAACACCAAAAAAACAGTAAATAGCATCATAACTGTGAGTACCCAGGGTAGATGGGGAAAGGGGGTACTTAACGCTCACTCCATCATCTTTCTAGTGTACCTTCCTATGCTACGTGGAAACTAAAAACTACATTTCCCAGAATCCTTCACGACCAGAGTCCTGGATGTGATTTAGATTCTGTCACTCAAATGGAGCTGATTTAGAGCAGAGACCAGGCTTCAGTTTCTCCTGCTGCCAAGCCCGGTTATGGAAACATCTGTTTTTTCTGCAGCAGCATTAGCAGCGACCCTAGGCTCTGGTCACAGGCTTTGAGGTGTTGTTGGCAGGGCGCATGGCACATGGCACTGGTCGTGGGCTCTGACATGTTGAGAGCAGGGCGCATGGCACATGGCATCCGTTTGTGCAGATCGTCACAGCCGCAGTGTGGTTCCAGAGCCAGCAATAGCAGCTGTGGCTTCTGATTGTGGTGACTTCCTGATTACAGTGGTTTCCTACCTTGCATGGTGGCTTCATAATTGTGGCCATGTGGTGTGGGAATAAAACCAGCAGCTTTTTGGTCATAGAAGGAGTAGCTCTTTTGGTGGGTTATGCAGGCTTTGGACAATTTCATGGGGCAAAGCAAACAAATATTGAAGTGTGTGGCTGCCAAGGGTGGGGCCCTGATAAGCTCCCTGCTTTTTGGGTAGGGATCCTGAGGGGCTGGGCCCTGGTGGTAAGGCGGAACTGCAGGTTCTCAAACAGACTGCAGTCCAGCCTCAAAGCTTCTGCGTGGCCAAAATATCTCAATTCCGGAAGTGCAATGGAAGTGATTCTGTATTTATAGCTGCCAAGTGCCTGTTACAAGCAACTGAAAGTCATTTCTGGAGGAAGGAAATATCTTAGACTTCTAATTCTTTCTGCAGCCATTTGTAAAACACAATCCCCAGCAAACGCACAAGGATAACCAAATACATGAGGGGATAAGACAACAAGAATGAGCACCGGGAGAAACATACAATAGAAACAGAAATCAGGAGCTCTAGATCAGTGCTCTGATAGAATTACACTGCAAGCCATAATGTGAGCCACATACAGGCATAACTCAGAGATGTGTATTTAGTTCCAGACCACCACAATAAAGCTAATATCGCAATAAAGCGAGTCACATGAAGTTTTCTCATTTCCCAGTGCACATAAAGGTTGTGTTTACACTATACTGTAGTCTATTAAGTGCGCAATACATTATGCTAAAAAAAACAATGTACACAACTTAACTCAAAACTACTTTATGCTTAAAAAATGCTAATTATCATCTGAGCCCTTAGTGAGTCAGAATTGTTTGCTGGTGGAGGGTCTTGTAAGAAATGCACTATCTACAACATGCAATAAAGTGAAGTGCAATAAATTGAGGAATGCCTGTATGTAACTTTAAATTTCCAGGTAACCACATTAAAAAAGTGAAAGGCAACAAGTGACATTAATATTTTAAATACTTTTCCTTCTTTTTTTTTCAGGTGTACATTGTAATATATTTCGATTTCTGTCTAGATTACATCATGTTCACCACCCAAAGACTAATTGCAATCCATCACCACACATGGGCCTAATCACCCTTTTCTCCCTCCCCCCTCCCCCCTTCCCCTCTGATAACCACTAATCCAGTCTCCATTGCTATGTGTTTGTTTTTCATTGTTTTCATCTTCTACTTATGAGTGAGATCATATATTAATTTGACTTTCTCCCTCTTATTTCACTCAGCATGATACCCTCAAGGTCCATCCATGTTGTCACAAATGGACAGATTTCATCATTTCTTATAGCTGAATAGTATTGCATTGTGTATATATACCACATCTTCTTTATCCATCTGTCCCTTGATGGGCACCTAGGTTGCTTCCAAGTCTTGGCTATTGTGAATAATGCTGCAATGAACACTGGGGTGCATGTATCTTTATGCATTTGCGTTTTCAAGTTCTTTGGATAAATATCCAGCAGTGGAATAAATGGATCATATGGTAGTTCTATTCTTGCTTTCCTGAGGAAACTCCATACTATTTTCCAGAGTGGCTGCACCAGTCTGCACTCCCACCAGCAGTGTATGAAGGTTCCCTTCTCTCCACATCCTCTCCAACACTTGTTGTTTCCTTTCCTGTTAACTCTAGCCATTCTGACGGGAGTGAGATGATATCTCATTGTAATTTCGATTTACATTTCCCTGATGGTTAATGATGTTGAACCTCTTTTCATGTGCCTGTTGGCCATCTGTAAATCTTCTTTGGAGAAATCTCTGTTCAGGCTTTTTGCCCATTTTTTAATTGGGTTGTTAGGGAGTTTTTTTGTTGAGATGTATGAGTTCTCCGTATATTTTGGATGTTAACCCCTTTTCTGATATATGGTTTGCAAATATCTTCTCCCAGTTGTTAAGTTGTCTTTTCTTTTCGTTGATGGTTTCTTTTGCTGTGCAGAGGATTTTTAGTTTGATGTAGTCCCATTTATTTTCTTCTATTGTTTCCCTTGCCTGGTCAAACATGGTATTTGAAAAGCTCCTGCTAAGACCAATGTCAAAGAGCGTACTGCCTGTGTCTTCTAGAAGCTTCATGGTTTCAGATCTTACATTCAAGTCTTTAATCCATTTTGAGTTGATTTTTGTGCATGGTGTAAGATAACGTCCTACTTTTCTTCTTTTGCATGTGGCTGTCCAGTTTTCCCAAAGCCATTTATTGAAGAGACTCTCCTTTCTCCATTGTATGCTCTTGGCTCCCTTGTCAAATATTAGCTGTCCATAAATGTGTGGGTTTATTTCTGGGCTCTTGATTCTGTTCTGTTGATCTATGTGTCTGTTTTTGTCCCAGTGCCATGCTGTTTTGGTTACTATAGGTTTGTAGTGTATTTTGAAATCAGGGAGTGTGATACCTCCAGCTTTGTTCTTTTTCCTCAGGATTGCTTTGGCTATTTGGGGTCTTTTGTTGTTCCATGTAAATTTTAGGATTCTTTGTTCTATTTCTGTGAAAAATATTGTTGGAACTTTGCTTGGGATTGCAATGAACCTATAGATTGCTTTAGGAAGTATGGACATTTTAACTATGTTAATTCTTCCAATCCAAGATCACAGAATATCTTTCCATTTGTTTGTGTGTTCTTCAATCATGTTCAGCATTGTTTTATAGTTTTTGGTGTACAGATCTTTCACCGTGTTGGTTAAGTCTACTGCTAGGAAAGGGGAGGGGCCCACACCAAGGCTTAGGGCCTGTTGGTGCTAAAGGGGTTTAGCAAAGTCAGGCCTGACTCAGACCACATCCTCTGTTTGGGAGAGTCTCTTTGGGCCCAGTGGGAGGTGGGGTGGGGACAGCAGGCACACAAGTCAGGGGCAGGACTCACATTTGAGTGAGAGCTGCATGGTGGCTCCATGTGATGTGTCAAGGGGAAGGGGACTCCTCCAGGGGGCTAAGAGGAGAGGGGCCTGGGTCTAACCCGGGGAGGAGGGCTGGGAATGCCTTGCAGACCCAAGTCAACAGGCTGGAGTTCAGGGCTGTGTTCTCACAGAAAGAGCCGCTTTGAATCCCTTTGTGCCACAGAAACTTGGAAATACAAATTTGGAACACAGCACCCCAAACCTTCGCAAAGGGGAGTTATTGTGTTTACCAAAAGGTCTTGCGCTCCACTGGGATCAAAACTACTAGAAAACGTACCGTCGATGACAGGACAGCTAAGGGCTGTGTTCAGCCCCTTTTTCTAAAACCGGAGTGTTCTCGAGAAGGAAAATCTTGCCTCATTTAAGAAGACCAGCAATGATTGTGAATGTGGAATAGAGACAGGAGGGCCGTCTCCCCTTAAGTATATACCGCAGGCTCCCGTCCTCTCGTTGGTTGTCGCCTGCGGGCAAGGGGAGAATTTGGCGAATAAGAAACACCGGAGCAAGGGAGGGGACGGCAGGGGAGGGAGACAGAGCGTGGCGGGAAAGGCTACTGAAGCCCCCAGGGCCCAGCCCGCCCGCCCCTCTGGAAGTGGGATCCTGAGCCCCAGGCATCCGGGGCGTGGGCAGGACAGGGGTGTTCCGGCAGGGTCGTAACCCGAGAAGCAGCCTGCCCTCTTCTGCTCACGACGCTGTCCTCACAGACCCTCCATCCTGCCCATCGCTGTCCCTGGGAGTTTCCCAGCGCGCTTGGCCAGCGCCTCACGGCACGTGTAGCCCCAGCCACTGTCCCTCCGGAGTCCCTGCTTCCCAGCCCCAGCTCACAGCCTTTCACTGCCCTCCTCACCCCGTCCCCATGCACCTCAGGGCCTCCAACACCTTCCCAAATAGGAACTGCCCCCAGTCACCTCTCTACCAACTGACCCCTTGTCCCCTCGCATCAGGACACAGACCAGCAAAAGCCCCCACTCCTGGCCCCCAGAACGTAGAGTAGGAGGGACGGGAGGCGGGGGCGTGGTTCCTGCCCGACAGACTCCGCCTCCTCCTCCAGCAACCAATGGGCACGAGCCTAAAGCTGCTGAAGGGGCGGGGCCGGGCGGGGGCGGGGTTTGCTCTTCAGCCCAGCCCTTCAGACGCTCTGGCTGTGGCAGAGATGGGAGCCATGGGGGTGCCTAGAGGTCTTTTTCTCCCCACACCAGCGCTCACTTGCGTTTTCCTTTCACAGATGCTCACTCTCTTTGCTATGACTTCACTATCCTCCCTAAGGCCAGCCCTGGACAATCCTGGTGTGAGGCTCAAGGCCAGGTCGATGAAAAGACTTTTCTTTCCTATGACTGTGGCAGCCAGGAGGTCAAATCCTTGAGTCTCCTGGGAGAGGAGGTAAAAGGCACGAGGGCCTGGCAAGAACAGATGGAAACGCTGAGAGACGTGGGGGACTTTCTCAGACAGCAACTGCTGGACCTTAAACTAGAGAAATACACGGACAGGGGTAAGTGGGAAAGTCCAAGTGCAGGGGAGAGCAGGTTGTGGGGTTAAGTGCGTTGATTGTACTCATGTAAAAAAAAAAAAAGAGCATGTTGGTCATTCCCATGTGGCTCGGCAGAAAGGGCAGGCCTTGGAGGAGACAATGGGATAGATACAAAGGGGCCCAGAGGGGTGGACACTGGGGTGGCCGGGGACAAAGGATTTGTCCAGAACAGAGGCTGACCTCTTTCCCACGGTGGGGACAGACCCTCTCCCGCTGCAGGGCAGGATGCTGTGTCAGTGTGAAGCCAATGGACGCACGCGCGCATCCTGGCAGTTCGGCTCCCAAGGACAGACTTTCCTCCTCTTTGACTCGGAGAACAGAACCTGGAAGGTGCTTCACCCTAGAGGCAGACAGATGAAAGAGAGGTGGGAGAGTGACAGGGATGTGACAGAGTTCTTCAGGAAGATCTCCATGGGAGACTGCAGGAGCTGGCTTGAAAGTTTCCTGGTGCACTGGGAGAAAATGCTGGAGACAACAGGTACCTGAGAAGAGGAGGAGGAAGGGACAGCTCTCTGGAGACAAGAGCAACACAGCTCACCTTGTGTGTGTGTGTGTGTGTGTGTGTGTGTGTGTGAGAAAGGGTGATCCATACACAGCGAGTTCTTCCTGGGAGAATAAGGGCTATAGGTCGGCTCTACCACCCTTCCTTTCTCTTCTCACTCCTGGCATCTCTTCCTCACTGCACATGTCTCTCATCCACTCACCGTGGATTTCTGGCTGACCCCAAACATGAGTGCATCCTTCTGTGTCCAGAGCTTTTCTTCTTACTGTTCCCTCTTCTTAGTCTCACTATTCTTTTTCATCTCACCTGTTCTATTTCTGGAAATCCTTCAATCCCACCGCAAATGTCAGCTCCTGAGAGGACTGCTCTCCCACCACCCTCAGGTGTCACCTCCTCCTCTGTCACAGCAGCAGCGATTGGTTACATTGTAACCCTTTCTTCCCCCATTAGCTGGGTGAGCCCCTTGGGGACAGGGCCCATCTCCTCTCCCTCCCTACCTCAGGGCCTGTCACAGCAGCTGCCACAAGTAAAGGGCTGGAAAATGTCTGCATTGTAGGATCATCTAGGGCAGCAAGAGCTGAGGAGGAGTCTCCTCAGAGGAGATATGGGGTCTGGACAAGGGCTGTCACTCTTCCTTTTCCATTTCAGCATCACCAACCATGGCCCCAGCTATAGCCCAATCCAGGGCCACGGCCGTCATGCCCATCACCTGGGTCCTCGCGGTGACCATGCTCACCTGCTCTCTTCTCCTTGGCCTCTGAGGCTGAGTCCTTTATGGTAACAGGTACTGAGAGCTGACAGCCTGGTGTGAGGGTGGGGAAAGGTGGATTCTCAGCCCAACCCCTGCCCCCTCACTGAACTTTCTCATCATGGAAATGTGACCAGGGGAGTAAGTCCTCATATCGCCCTATAGCAATTGGACAAGTTCAGCTCTGAGTTCTGATCTCCTCACTGGAAGGCGAGTGGGAAAGGGGAGGGGCCCACACCAAGGCTTAGGGCCTGTTGGTGCTAAAGGGGTTTAGCAAAGTCAGGCCTGACTCAGACCACATCCTCTGTTTGGGAGAGTCTCTTTGGGCCCAGTGGGAGGTGGTGTGGGGACAGCAGGCACACAGGTCAGGGTCAGGACTCACATTTGAGTGAGAGCCGCATAGTGGCTCTATGTGATGTATCTAGGGGAAGAGGACTCATCCAGGAAGCTAAGAGCAGAGGGGCCTGGGTCTAAGCCCAGGAGGAGGGCTGGGAAGGCCTTGCAGCCTCAACTCAACAGGCTGGAGTTCAGGGCTGCGTTCCCACAGAGGGTGCCGTGGGTCGCAGCAGGTGAGACAGAAGGAGAACAGTAGAGCCTGTGTAGGAGGAGGTCAGGAGGAGGCCCGTCCTCCACGGAACAAGGGGAATTGTGGCTCAGTATGTTGCATCACCTGGCAGCCAGCCTCCTGCAAACCCCAGATCCTGAGCCACTGAGTGGCGCCTCCCTGGAGCAGAGGTGACTCTGGAGATAGGTGGGACTGAGCTGCTGTTGATGCTCACAGCTGAGCTGGCCCAGGGATGGATGGGGTGGGGGACAGGGCCAATCACACTGAGAGCTCTGTGTGCTGCCAGCTAAAAGGCTGGGAGAGAAGGAAAAGACAGGTATTTGCCAGCAACCTTCCCCAAGGCTACAGGTGTCAGGATGCAGGCCCTTCTCTTCCATCAGAGCTCCCACCAGGTCCTTTAGGCCCTCCCGTCAGAGGGAGAATCAGGACCTGAGTAAAGGGAGCAGATTGATTCATTACTTGCTATAGTCATGAGCCTCAACTTCTGGTATCAGGACCTGGGGCTGCCCGTGATATGGGAAAAGGAGGAGGAGGTTGATACAAGCTGGTGGAACCAGGGAGCGGGTGGCAGCTGAGGGGAAATACAGGAGCCTCAGTGAGGGTGGCACTGGAGATGGGGAGTGACTGGGGAGTTGACCCAGGAGAACTGACCCAGGATTTCCTGAGCCACTTGGACCAACACTGTTTCCTTTCTGAAGGCTGACGATGCTCCCAAGGAGGCCCGGAGAGTGTGGTCCGTGTCACGACTCTGCTGTTTGGTTGGCCACCTTTGCATTACCAGCTGTTCATTTCTAGACCACCAGGAGCTCAGACCTTACAAATCCAGAGACCACCATGAGATCATGAGGAGACAGTCCATGCGACATCTCAGGTCCCTCATTGCATTGGATGATTCTCCTTTTCGGTGCCTTTCCTTAACATATTGTGCCACTTCCTCTTGGTGCTCAGTGACGGAATTCTTGCATTTCAACTTGAACTGCTTGAGCAGGAAACATCAAGAAGGAGAACATGTTCCGTCTTCTTCTTTCGTTTTGGAAAATGACCTTCTTGTCTGCATCCTGACCCTGTTCTTGCAAATGATATTGCCAGAAAAATATCGTGTCAGACTGCAGAACCTCATGGATTCTTTCTCTGTCCTGAGAAACAACCTCTGTGTCTTTTGCAAAGAACATTTTTTTTTTTGAGGAAGATTAGACCTGAGCTAACATCTGCTGCCAATCCTCCTCTTTTTGCTGAGGAAGACAGGCCCTGAGCTAACATCCATGCCCATCTTCCTCTACTTTATATGGGGGATGCCTGCCACAGCATGGCTTGATGAGTGTTGGCACCCAGGATCCGAACCGGCGGAACGTGGGCCACCAAAGCACAATGTGTGAACTTAACCGCTGCACCACCTGGTGGCCCCAGAACAATGTTTTATTTATGATTTTTCTCTTTAGTAACTTACTACCCTACAGTGACATTTATGTAAACATCTCTATAGTCTAAAAAACTTAATTATTTTTTAGTTTTCTTTTATCCCCTGTAGAGACTTCGTGGCATCGCTATTCCTCCACGTTGTGGGGCACTTACAGCTGGTGATTCTGCTGGATTTTGTGAAAACAGAATTAAAGGATCCTTCTGAAATGAACAAGAAGTCCAGCTGTCTGTCTCCAGCTTATCCTGATGCCCCGGTAGAAACAAATATTCTGAGACTTAAGGAAGGAGGATCTTCCTGATTTCAGCCCAGATCCCCCGCCCCAGCAGTGACTGTCCTGTGATCCCTCCACCCTGGCTCGCCTCCTTCAGTGAGAAGTCCGTCTGCGCAGTCGAAAAATCTCTACTTCTAAAGTTGTTTTTGGGGCTGGCCCTGTGGCCAAGTGGTTGAGTTCACGCGCTCCACTTCAGTGGCCCGAGGTTTCACTGGTTCAGATCCTGGGTGCGAGCATGGCACTGCTCATCAGGCCACACTGAGGCAGCGTCCCACATAGCACAACTAGAATGACCCACAACTAAAAATACACAACTGTGTACCCAGGGGGCTTTGGGGAGAAAAAGCAAAAATAAAATCTTTTTTAAAAAGTTAAATAAAAATTAAGTCATATATCTGACAAAGGCTTAATATCCATAATATATAAGGAACTCTCACAACTCAACCACAAAACATCAAACAACCCAATCAAAAAATGGGCTGGAGACATGAACAGACATTTCTCCAAAGAAGATACACAGATGGCCAATAGGCACATGAAAAGATGCTCATCATCGCTGATCATCAGGGAAATGCAAATCAAAACTACACTAAGATATCACCTTACACCCGTTAGAATGACAAAAATATCTAAAACTAATAGCAACAAATGTTGGAGAGGTTGCAGAGAAAAAGGAACCCTCATACACTGCTGGTGGGAATGCAAACTGGTGCAGCCACTATGGAAAACAGTATGGAGATTCCTCAAAAAACTAAAAATAGAACTACCATACGATCCAGCCATCCCACTACTGGGTATTTATCCAAAGAGCCTGAAGTCAGCAATCCCAGAAGTCCTGTGCACCCCAATGTTTATTGCAGCACTGTTTACAATAGCCAAGACGTGGAAGCAACCTAAGTGCCCATCAACAGACGAATGGATAAAGAAGATGTGGTACATATATACAATGGAATACTACTCAGCTGCAAAACAGAACAAAATCATTCCATTTGAAATAACATGGATGGACCTTGAGAGAATTATGTTAAGTGAAATAAGCCAGCGAGAGAAAGATAATCTGTGTATGACTCCACTCATATGAGGAATTTAAAACTATGGACCAAGAACAGTTTAGTGGATACCAGGGGAAAGGTGGGGTGGGGGGTAGGCACAAAGGGTGAAGTGGTGCACCTACAACATGACTGACAAACATTAATGTACAATTGAAATTTCACCAGATTGTAACCTGTCAATAACTCAATAAAAAATAATAATAATAAAAAGTTAAATAAAAATTAAAAAATGAAAGTTGTTTTCTTTCCCCTCAGACAGAGGATCAGTATCCAGAATATATAGTGAACTTCTACAAATCCATAAGAATAAGTCTAATTGTCCCAAGATTAGAGCAAAGGTTTTGAGCAGTTCAGAGAAGGTGATATTGAACATATCCCACATCATCAAGATAACAGAAAAGAGCAGTGGGCATCCTCACACCCAGCAAATGGGCAAACTGTGAAATATATCAGGTGGAGGACAGGAAATGGAATAACGGGTGTTTGCTTACACTGTTAGTAGGAGTGTAAATGGAGTCACTCCTTTGACATGTATTTCACCAGTGCCCCACAGTGGACGATGTGTTCTTCCTACTACACAGCCATCCCACTGTTGGGTCCAGGCTGGCAAACGTGGACACCACAGCATGTGGTTGTCTATTGTGGTGGTGTGTGTCATGCCAAAAAAACTAGCATTAAGATAGCCAACTGAAGTAGGATATATTTTTCAATATGGTGAAAAGATTTCTATTTCTCTCCACTTCAGAGTAGATTGTCTTTAATACTATTAAAAATAAAACCGCCAGCTGATAGATGCAAAACTTTTAAACCTTTCAAATGTGTATTTGAAAACTTCCGGTTGACATACAATAGCAGTGGTCACATGAATCTAAAGCTCTCCACGTACATTTAAAAATTGCCCAGATCAATAAAAGGGGCAAATAAAATACCTTAACCCACGTCTTCAGCTGCTCAAGGACATGAAAAATACCTCGACCCATCAGTTCCTTTGACTGGAAAGGACATTACTGCAACAATGTTGACACTTGAATGGAGTCTGAGGAGTAGACAGCGGTCATGTAGTGACCGGAAGTCTATGTCGGTGATTATATTGTGGGGTAGGGGAGCACCCTGGTTTGGAGGAAATACGTACTAAGTATACGGCATCAGAGGACATCACCAAAAGTGGGGAACATCAATGTGACAGCTCAGTATCATATGGTTCAGCAAGAGAGGTGCTCTGCACAGTACTCACAACTTCTGTATCACTTTATGCTTCTATCAAAAGTTTTATTGCTACTGAAAATGAGAATCAAAGAAAAACTTAATTTTCGGAATGTGATGGAAGAAGGTTAAAGCCTCAAGCAATATAACAGAGCTCCTGCCTCCTGGGGTGGCGTGTCCTCCCCGATGTTCCCTTCTCCCCTTCTGTGCTCCAGCCTCCCTCAGCTTCTCCCTCCTCCACCTCAACCGCATGGTCAGCCCAGGCCTCTCTAGACAGAAAAGCAGGTCAGGCCTGGAATAGAAGGTGTGCAAATTCTCTGTTACAGATCCTGACTCTCACTTGGATGCAGGAGCTGGCAGGTACCTGACTCAGAGAAAAGGGCTTGTCAGCTCTTCTGAGATTAGAGCCATCCTTTACAGGGGATGTGTGTGTGTCTGTGTCTGTTTGTGTGTGTGTGTGTTCCCAATGACTTCTCTGCTTGAAACTCATGACCGCTTAGGGATTTCCCACGTATCCTCTTAGTCACATTTCACCTGCTGAAATCTCTTCTTCTCCAATACCCTAAAGACCAGCCACTCTGGCCCACCTGCTGGTCATCGCCATCACGCTTCCAGGCTTTCTGTGCTGACATAATCCTCTGTTGGGGATTCCAGTACCCACTGGTCAATGCCCTGCGGAACTTGAAAGCTAGGCAGAAATATCATCCCCCGTTGTCTTCCTTATCCTCCTGTTTTAGTCACGGTTCTCCAGAGACCAGGACCAGATTGATGTGGAGAGAGAGAGAGAGAGAGAATTATAAAGAATGGGCTCACATGATTATGGAGGCCATCGAGTCCACAATCTGCTGTGTAGACCAGCTCACTGGACCCCGTAGAGCCAATGGTGCAGACGAAGTCTGAAGGCAGTCTGCTGGGGATTCCCTTTTCTTTGAGGATGCCAGTCTCTTTGCTCCTTTCAGGCCTTCAACTGATTTGACAAGGCCCACCAACATTACTTAATGGAGGACTATCCCCTTTACTCAAAGTTCGCTGATTTAAATGTTCATCTCATCCAAAACATTCTCCAAGTTGAGAGATAAAATTTCCCATCACACATCCCCAGGATGAATGAGTCATCTCCTCTCCCCTCCTCTCTGTCTGAACAGTAAGAACATCGCACTTGGTGAGAGATATTTGTATATTTGTGTCCTCCACACTTCATGTGGGCATTGGGAATATAATATGTCCCTTTATCACTTTTGTTTTATGGAAGGTAGGACATGCTATAGCTCAATGACTCTGGGATCAATTGAATTCCCTTGGGGAACAGGAGCTGAGAGAGGGCTGTCCTCATGCATGGGGCCCCACTTTACAGCACAACCATCCGTGGCCAAACCATCCCCGACTCCGTGGCTTTAGTCCCACCTCAACTCATCGCTTTGAACACTCTGCCTATCCCCAGTGGGAAGACCCTAATGCCTCCTTGTCCTGGTCCTTGAGAGGGCAGTGTATATTATGAGCAGAAATGAGAGAGAGGTTGGAGTTCAGTAGCCTCTGTCCTCTGGGGAGGTCTTTGCCAGATGTGATGCCTGGCCAGACCCCTGAGTCCCACTTTGCCACCATCCACTGCACATTTTCCCCATTAAATGAGAAAATAGACTAGGAGCTTAGACTGCACACATTCTCCATGTGGAAAGGAGGAGCTGCAATTGATAGGAAGTCCCCAGCTCCTGAGGCCGTGGGAAAGTGGAGAAGGCGTGCACCAGAGCACAGGGCCTGTCTGTACTAGGGACATGGGGTACAGCTAATTCTGTTAATTGGCTGGTATAAAGGAGACCTGAATGTTTTAGCCTGATTCACTAGGTTCTTTATGCAGGAGGGTCCTGTGCTGGGTGGTGTGGAAGACCAGAGACACACAGGGGGTGGGCAGGACCCCGGTTTGGGTGGGGCAGGAGTTTGGTGGGCCCAGGTGATCTGTGTGTGGGAAGAGACTCTCATGTATAGGGCTGGGGACAGGAGCCTGCGTTTAATCCCTGGGAGGAGGCAACCAGGAAGGGTCCGGCAGCCCCACCCATGAAGCTGGGTGAAGTGGGCAAGTGACTGGGAGAACAGGAGAGGGGAGAAAATGCATTGTAGGACTGTCTGGGGCAGCAGGAGCTGAGGAAGAGTCACCACAGAGGAGATTTGGGGTCTGGACGAAGGCTGTTATTCTTCCTTTTCCATTTCAGCATCACCGACCACGGCCTCAGCTGCAGCCCAATCCAGGGTCACAGCCATCATGCCCATCAATTGGGTCCTTCCGGTGACCCTCACCTGCTGTATTCTGCTTTGCAT